TGAGTTTCGCGGCACTAAGGCCAAGACCGGCCAATATCGATCTCAACCTTCCTGATCTCAACCTTCCTCTTCTCCTGGAATTCACTTGATCTTGCCGGAAACATCGTCGGTGCCCAAAACTTTGATCTTGCGTCATCTATTTCTAATTTTGCGACTCCATTCATCTTCTTTTTTTCTTTTTCAAATAAAAAAAATTATTAAATAGATAATATATATAATTAGGGAGAAAATCTAGTGAGAGAAAACTATATTTTTAATCATATATATTACGTTTTTAATGGTATATTATCTATTTTAATGGTAATAAATATATTATCTGTTTTTAATGGTTTCCAATTACATTTTTAATGGTATATTATCTGTTTTTAATGATAATAAATATATATATCATCTATTTTTAATGGTTTCCAATTACGTTATATTTCTGTTTTTTTTTTTTTGTTCTCTTGTATCTATAAATATACTGATAGATATAGTCATATATTATTTTTATATGACTTGTATCAATAAAAACATGAATTAAATTCAATATCAAACAAATATGTTTTAGAATGACATAACAATGTAAAACATGTTAAATTTATGGATTAATTTCTTTCTTCCCAATCTTTGCACCTACACAAATAAACATATTTTACGATAACATCATAAATTAAACGTAATACGTTTTAAACCTAAATTATATGTAACATTTTAACTTACTTATAACATGTATCATACATTATTTTTATGTAACTTGAATCAATAAAAACATGAATTAAATTGAAGTTCAAACCAATATGTTTTAGAATGACATAACAACGTAAAACATGTTAAATTTATGAATTAATTTTTTTCTTCCAAATTTTTGCACCTACACAAACAAACATATTTTATGAATAATATCATTAATTTAACATAATATGTTTCAAATCTAAATTATATGTAACATCTTAACTTACTTGTAACATGTATCATATATTATTTTTATGTGACTTGTATCAATAAAAAATCAAAGTAAATTCAACGTCAAACAAATATGTTTTAGAATGACATAACAACGTAAAACATATTAAGTTTATGGATTAAATTTCTTTCTTCCAAATATTTGCACTACACAAATAAACATATTTTTACCAATAATATCATGAATTAAACGTAATATGTTTCAAACCTAAATTATATTTAAAATCTTAACTTACTTGTAACATGTATCATATATTATATTTATGTGAATTGTATTAGTAAAAATATGAATTAAATTCAACATCAAACAAATATGTTTTTGAATGACATAACAACGTAAAACATGTTACGTTTATGGATTAATTTATTTCTTCCAAATCTTTGCAACTACGCAAATAAATATATTTTACGAATAACGTCATTAATTTAACGTAATATGTTTCAAATTTAAAATATATGTAGCTTCTTAACTTACTTGTAACATGTATCACATATTATTTTTATGTAACTTGTATCAATAAAAATTTAAATTAAATTCAATATCAAACAAATATGTTTTAGAATGACATAACAACGTAAAATATGTTAAATTTATGAATTATATGTCATTCTAAAACATATTTGTTTGATGTTGAATTTAATTCATATTTTTACTGATACAAGTCACATAAAAATAATATATGATACATGTTTTAAGTAAGTTAAGATGTTACATATAATTTAGGTTTGAAACATATTACGTTTAATTACTGATGTTATTTATAAAATATGTTTATTTGTGGTTGGTGCAAATATTTGAAAGAAAGAAATTAATCCACACACTCATGAAGAACACTCGAATTCTATTATTCAACCCAGAAAGAAATATTACTCCGTATATTGAAACTATTTAAAAAATTTATTTATAATTTGCTTTCAATTTATTTCATGTACGTTTTTATTGATTCAAGTCACATAAAAATAATATATGATGCATGTTATAAGTAAGTTAAAATGTTACATATAATTTAGGTTTGAAACATATTACGTTTAATTTCTGATGTTAGTCATAAAATATATTTATTTGTATAGGTGCAAAGATTGGGAAGAAATAAATTAATCTATAAATTTAACATGTTTTACATTGTTATGTTATTCTAAAATATATTTGTTTGATATTGAATTTAATTCATATTTTTATTGATGTAAGTCACATTAAAATAATATATGATACATGTTATAAGTAAGTTAAGATGTTACATATAATTTAGGTTTGAAACATATTACGTTTAATTGCTGATGTTATTTGTAAAATATGTTTATTTATGTAGGTGCAAATATTTGGAAGAAAGAAATCAATCCACACACTCATGAAGAACACTCGAATTCTATTATTCAACTCAAAAAGAAAAAATTAATTCGTATATTGAAACTATTTAAAAATTTGTTTATAATTTGCTTTCAATTTATTTAATGTTTTTATTGATTCAAGGCACAGAAAAATAATATATGATATATGTTACAAGTAAGTTAAAATGTTACATATAATTTAGGTTTGAAACATATTACATTTAATTTCTGATGCTATTTGTAAAATATGTCTATTTGTGTAGGTACAAAGATTGGGGAGAAAGAAATTAATCCATAAATTTAACATGTTTTACATTGTTATGTCATTCTAAAACTTCACTAAAAAACATATTATCTCTCAATTCCTAAAACCCTTAAAATGATAATACAATACGAGGACAATACATGAGGAATGTGTAAAATAAATTAGATAGATATGAAAGCTAATATAATTGATTAATCAATCTATTTTGGGTAAAAAATAATACTGTAATATATATAGTAAAAGAGAAGGGATTTCCATTCAAATACACCAAATTCATTACTTAATTTGGTTTAACAAATATACCCACAAAAAATACGAGACACACAACTACAGATCACGATCACCATGACCAATTTAGAAAAGAAAAATATAACAAGGTATATATAGTAATAAATAAGAAAAATAACAAAATTACAAATATTTTTAAATCACAAATGAACACTTATAACTGGTAAATAAAATCACGGACTCTGCAAATTTAACATACCAAATTTATGAAAATGTAGATAAACAAACAAAATTACAAATATTGTATGGTGGACTTCTACGGAATGTATGGTGGCCTTCTGCTTCTTGCCGGAACGTATGGTGGACTTATATTTCGCCTCAAAATGTGTGGCGGAACTCTACTTCTCGCCAGAATCTATGGTGGTTCTCGCCAGAATGTATGGTGCTTCTACTTTAAATCAGAGCTTCTTTGAAAAGGGACAATGTTTTGCTAGTTTGACGAGGTTGTTGCCGGAATTTACGAAGCTTGGTCTTTGGCCCGGATTAGAGAGACTTCAATTTCAGAGGGAGAGAGATCTAGAGGGAAATAATGAAATATCAAGAGGATATAGAATAAAATTTTGGGGGGAAATCACTTTTATGTTTTGGAGGGAATTTGAATTTCATTTTGTATAAATTCTTGTACAAATACATATGTATGTATGTATATACACCTGCCAAAGTAAATACCCTTTTTACTAAAAGGGCCATATTACCAATTTACCCCTCCAAGGACAGCCTCCGTGAGAGGTGCCTTGGAGACAATTTTTTCCCTAATTGCTCAAGTATTCAATAAACATAAACAAATTGTGTTTTCATATCTTTGGGGTGACTGGCAATCGTAGTTCCCGGTGATTTTCTTGCATTTACAGCGCTTCCCTTGAGCGTTTTCTGGTCTAAGCTAGTGCCTTCTCCATCTAATATCATCGGCAATGCTTTCCCGGTGAATCACTGGTGGGTACTGTTCAGTACTCTGCTTACTTCTGGTCATGTGCTGCTGAAAAAGGTGAAATTCCTTCCGATCATGAAGCGGATATGGATAATGGGAAATTAACTAACTCTGGTAAGAACTCTTCTAATGCTATTCGTGACAGTATTTACCTCCTTTGCCAAATCAATCTGGGCTTGTTAATGCTCCTCAATTGGATTGGGTAATGCTGGTTCTCAGAGTTCTTTGGTCTCTGAAAAACCAGTGACAAAGCACCAATTAAAGTTCTTTCAACCTAGTAAAGATACCTTGGCGGGATATTTCATAGGTCGCCAATTACCTCCTTTCCCTTGTTTCTGATATTGCAAAAAAGCTTTGGAACAATAATGGTCTTTTGAATGTTTTGTCCAATAATCCTGGATTCTTTTTCTTTCAGTTCTCATCTGAAATCTCTTTGATCCATGTTTTGGAGGGTGGCCCTTGGCATTTTGTTGGTTGTTACCTAATCTTGCAGAAAAATATGGCGCCCCAAATTGCAGTTAACCAGAGGAGCTACATTGAAGGTCCTTATTTGGGCCAAGTTTTACAATATTCCTTTGAAATATTGGACCCCCAAGGCTTGAGCTATATTGCAAGTGCGTGATTATGATGTCCCATATCACCTTGGGGTGGAGGAGAAGTTGTTGAGCCTTATATGTGTGGACACCATGTGTAGACACGTTTTAAAAATCGTGAGCACAGAGAGTGAGCGAACCGAACAATATCTAGACAGGACGAGGCGAGTCGTGACAGAGTTGATAAATAAATGATACATAAGACTTAGTATCTTCCATCCATGCACCCAAAATTTAATCACCAAGGCATACACATTTCTAGCAAATATGACATCGAAAACAAGGAGGATTAAGCCATATATCCTCCCAGGCTCCCCCATCAAGATGGAACGAGCAAAATATCAGAAAATAGCAGAGATTAGAAACCAATCTAAACACCTGAGTAATCTTTCAATTCCTCAATCAATTCAAATCAAAGTTTTCATTCAGGAATGCAGAGATGTGGAGGGAGTTCTCTCATATTGATTGTGAATTTGTGATCAGATAATTTCCATAAAGAACCTAATAAGCTGATAAAATTGTTGCAATGCAATAGTACACAAAGCTTTATTGCAGATTTTATGAACAGATATTTGACTATTTGATATTTGCCCAAAATCAATGAAATGTGAACATTAAACCAGTGATGTAACCAAAGATAAAGAGAATTGTCTCACCGAGCAATAAATGTCGATGTTGCGGCAAAATTGGATTGATGCACCAGACGCGGAGCAGAAGCATAATATGTCATTTTCCACAAAGGCCCATGTTTCACCAAGAAGTTATAACTTCTTCGCAATTGATTAAACGGCCAAGGAGTGTGGTCTGTCCACAAATCAGTAACAAACACCTGCAACACACACACTTTAAAAGCACAGAACAAAAATCAATATTTATATACACACACCCACTTATTCTATTTTCAAAATTAATTGCAACTAATCCATTAAAATTAACCTGATACTCATCACCAAATTCTTCGTTAAATGCGGCTTTAATGGCTTCTGCAGAAGCCTGGTGACCACCACCAGTGTCACACATCAAAATAAGCACCTTTTTCGGACTCTTGGACCCCACTCCATTCAATGGCAATTGTTTTGCTCTTTTTTTTTTTTTTTTTTTTTAGGGTATGCTAGAGTCTTTAGACCTAAGGGGTTAGATAACCAAAATATCCTTGGTACTAACCGAATTCGTAATCGGCCCTTCTGTGAATCAGGAAACTGCTTGAAGGCAAGGATAACCCCTTCTGTGAGGACTTGCATTTTTATTATATTCAGGATATGTTGGCATTTGTGCATTATTTATTTTATTGTCAGGATTATGATTAATTGCAAATGTAGTTATTTTATTTAAATGTCATTTAATTATTTTATCAGGGGCATTATTGGCTTTTACTATGTAAATGATATTTATTAATTTTGTGAGGGGTATTGTGGGCCTTTTGCTATGCAAAGGACATAGTTGGTATTTAGAAATTATTGGAGGGTATTATATACTTTTAATTATACAAAATAGCATAATTGGCATTTGGTTAGTTGTGAAAGGATATTGTGGACCTTTTCATGCAAATGGCATGAATGGGATTTTGTGTTTGTGTAGGGGTGTTTTAATCTTTGTGCAAAGTCTTACTTTTGACCTTTACGTGGGCTTGACAACTAGATAGGTGATGAAGCCTCACTTTTGCATATTATCACATATCAATTGTATAAAGGAATGATATAAAGAAAGTTGGCAGAAACCATTTCGTCCTCTTTTCCTTCACTATAGTCATCATCTTCATGTTCCAAATTGAGGTTGTTGTAGTGACATTTTGGTGGTGTTGTAAGGAGAAGGGGTTTTTGTTTTACTACAAACAAGTATTTCATCTTCACCTTCTAGTTGTTGATTTTAATCCTCTTTGGGGTGGTTTTAGAATTGTTCTAGCAAGGGATTTCATCTATTTTGACGTAGGATTGTCTAACCTTCAATTCCTTTACCTTTAGTGAATTAATTCCTTTTATTTTAAGTTGCAAAGTGTATAAAAACTGAACAGAAATTCTGTGCAAATTCTGAAATTGTTTGGCTGAAATTACATGCTATTGTTTTGCCCAAATTCATGTAAATTCAAAATTTATCTTTTAGAGATGAATTGATATTATGATAATATGGTTAACGGTAAAGTGCAATAAACCCTTCTATACTATTAAGTAATTGCACAAAACCCCCATAATTAAGCATTGCCCCCTGAACTATTAAAAAGTTGCATTTAAGGACAAAATTAAAAGTCGCCGTCCCTAGAGTTAACCGAAAATAGAAGATTACCATTTTACCCTATGGGCAAACGATGTTGTTTTATTGTTTTATCAAAATCCAATCTCAATATCCAGTAGGAATCTGCCAGCACATCACCATATATATCATAAACACTACTTCATGTTAGCAACCAAACACCTCCTTACGCTCTTTCTCTCTCTACTCTCTCCCTCTGTACGATATCCTTGTCCGGCAACAAATGAATCACCGACCAGTAGCAGCCTCCGTCAATTGAACCAGCCAACGACCATCACCGGCGATAACCGCCACCAACTCCGGATATTTTGATTGGAATCTAATTTGGCAGAGTGAAGCTCTGGATTTTACCAAACGTCATTAATCGACCTACAACTCTCTTTATCTTGTCTCTCCCCACAATAATCCTAAATCTGGAATTCCACACCACTGACTCCAATCTTCAACACCTGAGTAATTAACTTCTCCTTGTAAAACTATTCGACGAGCAACGACCATGTCACAAACAAATCGCCGGCTGCGACACTAGTTGGAGAACTTGAATTTGGAGAATAATAAAGTGGTGATCCGTGGTCTAGCTTCTTAAAAGGCCTCTATTCAACTATATATATATATATATATTTGCGATGGTGACAGTCGGCCATGAAAAGTGCCTTCTGTTGAATGGTGGTGAGGGGAGGCGATATTGCGCCGGCGTTAGTGCCGGTGGAGACTGACGGAAGAGAGAAATTTTGAAGGCATGTTAAAGAAAGAAGCAAATAGGCAATTTTGAAAAATCAGGAAAAAAGATTATTGATATTGCTAGCATAGGTGTATTTGAATTTTATGAAGGGATCCATGAGATAGGTCTCAGGTCTGTGTAATTATATATATATACACACACACATATATGACTTGTATACTTATTTCCTCTTTGTATCATAGTTTTAAGAGGGACGTTACTGATTGTTGAATAGTTGGAGAGTGTTTACAGAGAATGAGAACTCCATGAGAGAGGTGACGTTAGGGAAGGAAGCTATTGGGGAGGTATGGTTAACTGTAGACTAAAAAAGGGTTCAATTTGGAGATTTATTAAATAAGGGTAAAATTGCCACATTCGAATTGCAGCATAGGCCACGTGCGCATTTCACTGACAAAACTTGCTGGAACAGTGTTGCCTGGTGTTTATTACAAAAATTGAAATAGTTTAAAGGGTTTATTGTCAAAATAGAAGTTCAGGGGGGTTTTTAGGGAGAGAGAGTAAAGTTTAGGGTTTTTTTTTGCACTTTACCCTATAGTTAATTATCTTTCATTGAGAATTGGTTTCACACAATTTGGTTGAAAAATGAATTTATTATGAATTTCTAAAGTTAGAGTCATCTTGTTGGAAATTCTAGGTTGGACGTAGAATTTGTCTGAGTTTTCTTATCAAAACTGCTTTAAATGGTAAGGTATTTTGGTAAAACAAAATTTTATTTTGAAAATATGGTCTTTAAACTGTCAATGGTCTTTGGATTCGTTCAATTTGGATGAGAATTGGATTTTTCATGATTTTTCAAAGTTGGAAGCTACAAGCTGGAAATCTGTTTTCTGGACAGAATTTGTTTCAAAGTTGTGGGTCAAAACTGTTCCAATTGGGAAAGGATTTTGTTAAACTAAATTGATACTTTCAAATTATAGTGTTTAATCTTTCATTGGGCTTTAGAATCACCAAATTTGATATAGAATTGAAATTGTTATGAATTTTTAAAGATGAAGGTAAACAACTACGAATGAATCTGTTTTGTTGTATAGAAACTTTGGGGCATGACACAAATGTGCATTCATCTTGCATGGTCATGGGGTTGAGGTTAGAATGGAAAGGGAAGTGAAAACATCTCATTAGATGGTTTGGAGAATCGGATAACAGGGAGGTGCCTTTTACCTATGAGGTTAGGATGTGGAAATGAATAAATAATTTTAAAACTGGACAAAGGAGTTGCCTTATGTTTATGTAGCTGGATAACAAGGAGTGGCTTTGCATCCGTGCAGTTAATGGAAATTTAGAGAAGACGTAGGAGTTGCTTACATGAAGTTGTGTCACTAGGCCCCAAATGATCACAAGGAGTTGCCTTGTATCAGGGATAGATGATTAAATCTCTTTTCGTGGTACTGGGGAGCAGCCCTAGGCGGATTACATTAACTTTTTTTTTTTTATGGAATGAGGTTTTGGGAAATGAGAAGTGTCAGTGGCATTAGCACTAGCATTGGCATTGCATGGCACTTCATATTATTATCTCACATGACATCATGTCTTTCTCGAGCCTACATGATCCCTTTATTTTTTATCTATTCTTTGTATAGATTCACAGAGGTATTAAGAAGCGCGTTTTAGGCAATTCTCATTGAGCTGTGGTTGCTCATTCCTATTTTATATATATCTTTTTAGGTCATGGCATGGATGGTGTGGAGGGTGTTCCTCCTCAGTTGTAGACAGAGTCGAGGCTGGTGTTGTGGTGTTTTCATTCTGTATAATGGACAATGTATTGTAATATTTCTTAAAAATATCCCAGGCATGTATTAAATGTTGTTCAAACTAAGAAACTTTAAAATTGAAATGGGAGCATCTTATCTATTTAATTTTCTGTTATGGTTTTATAATGAGAATAGATAGGTGAATGTGATTGAGACAGGTTATAGGAATATTTATGATCACGAGATTGTGATCATTGTGTGTTGAGTTCACAATCTGGACTACAGTCTTGGGGCGTGACAAAAGTGGTATCAGAGTATGGTTTCTATAACATAGGGACGACGGGTAGAGGTCTGTCTATAGCTGTGAGTGTAGTAGGTCACATTGTCTTACATGATTATGTGTTTAATTATTTTTCTTTACAAACATGTTTACGTGTATACGTGATTACATGTTTATTTGATTATGACAAAACATGTTATGTGTTTAAAGATTTTTATCCATGTGAGTCAGTTTGGGACTGTAGATACGTTAGTTAGTGGTTCATGGGGTTTGAGTAGCGTGGTGATCTCTAGTGTGGTCAGATGTCCTCGTTAGACTTGGTTGGGTTTGTATCGTAAAGTGTTACCAATGCAGTATAGTTTAGTGGTGCACTGATTAGTGTTTAGCACAGGTTTGTGTTTTTCTTACGAGATAGTGGAATGTTCAGTTGTGATTAATGGCAAGGAGTCCAGAATTGGATCCTGATGTTTGGGGAAGTTATCAATTGCAATTGGTGCTAGATGTAAGTCTCAGTGACTTGTGATTTGATTTAAGTGGGTCAGTAATACTGTTATTGTTATTTGGGCATGGGATAACCAAATGGACCAGCCGAACATTTTGAACCAAACCCAGCTCAAATATACGATGTCAGGACACTGACAGAAATGGGGAATTGGTTGTAACTTGAGCGATACTTGTTGTTCAGGAGGCTTTATAGTTACCTCGAAAGTAGACTCTTGTGTTTGATCTTATCATTCTGGAGCAGGGTTTGACGTCATTCTCGGAATAGATTGGTTATCATCATTTAATGCCACGATTTATTGCTTTAGTGGTAGAGTTTTAGTGTGTACGCCAAAGGGCGATTGTTTTGTGTGTATGGAAGATTGGGGTAATTCCTTGGTTTCAGCTTGTTATGATGTTCGTGGTCAAAACTGTTGTGATTTCTTCTTAACCCGCAATCTAGCTGAAAAAGATGGTGATGTGGGGACAGTTTATCAGTCAGTTGTTTGTGACTTCTTGGATGTGTTTTAGGATAACTTACGGGATTTACCTTCCAGAAGAGAGGTTGAGTTTGTGATTAACTTGATGCCTAGTACTGCGCTGATTTTTATGGCTCCGTATCATATGGCACCAGCAGAGCTGGAAGAATTAAAGAAGCAATTGGATGATTTGAGCCTGAAGGGTTTTATTCGGCCTAGTGTTTCACCATGGGGAGCGTCTATGTTGTTTGTAAAGAAAAAAGATGGTTCTATGAGGTTGTGCATAGATTATTGGAAATTGAATCATATAACCATCAAGAACAAGTATCCTTTACTGCGGATTGGCGATCTATTTGATCAGTTGAGGGAAGCTATTTGCTTTTTCAAGATTGATCTGAGGTCTGGTTATTACCAGTTACGAGTTCGAGATGAGGATATTCTGAAGACAGCTTTTCGTATGCAATATGGTTATTAGGAGTTCATTGTGATGCCTTTTGGGTTGGCTAATGCACCAGCGGCAATCATGGATATAATGCACCGTGTCTTTCACAGGTATCAGGACAAGTTTGTGGATGACATTCTTGTATATTCATGATCTCGGGAGGATCACGAGATCCATCTGAGGATAGTGTTACAGATGCTGAGGGAACACCATTTGTATGTCAAGTATTCAAAGTGTGAATTTTGGCTACAAGAGGTGAAATTTGTAGGACATGTTATTTCAGGCAGTGGTGTATTAATTGATCTTTTGAAGATAGGATCAGTTATGGATTGGGAATATCCCAAGAATGTGTTTGAGATTCGGAGTTTTCTTGGCTTAGCAGGTTATTACCGCTGGTTTGTGAGAGTTTTCTCGCTTAGTCGCTTCTATTACTCGAATGACTCGAAAGGGGATCAGATTTGATTGGACTGAAGCTTGTGAGTCATCTTTTCAGGAGTTGAAGACTAGATTGACTACAACTCCAGTATTGGTGATACCTGAGCGTGGCTTAGGTTATGTTGTCTTTTGTGATGCTTCTCGGGATAGTTTGGGTTGTGTGTTGATGCAGGGTGACAAGGTAGTGGCTTATGGATCTAGACAATTGAAGATTCACTAGGTTTAACTATCCCACTTATGGCTTAGAGTTGGCAGCAATTGTTTTTGCATTAAAAAGCTGGAGGCATTATTTGTATGGTGAAAGATTTGAGGTGTTCTCGGATCATAAGAGTCTTATATACCTTTTCTCTTAGAAGGACTTGAACAACAGATAGAGGCAATGGGTTAAGTATTTGGAGGACTATGATTTTGATTTGTAGTATCATCTGGGTAAGGCAAATGTAGTAGCAGATGCCTTAAGCCAGAAATATCATGGAGTTTTGGATGGGTTAACCATTCAGAAATGGAAGATGTTAGAGGATATAGCAGAGATGGGATTGCAATGTTATGATGATAGTATTGGTTGTGAGTCAGCTTTTCTGTTTAGTCTTGTGGTTCAACCTACTCTTATTACACGGATAATTGAGCCACAGAGACAGGATTCAGATTTAGCTACCATTCATCAGTTGATTTTAGGTGGGGACACAGTAAAGGACTGGACCTTACACACAAATGGTGGTTTACGGTTCAAAGGTTTGCTTGTGGTTCCTATGATTTATCGGGAGGACGTGCTACGGGAGTTTCACACTTCTCGCTTTACTGTTCATCTAGGTTGTATCAAACTGTATCATAATTTGAGATGCCAGTATTGGTGGAACGGAATGAAGATAAATGTAGCTCAGTTTGTTGTTAGATGTCTTACCTATCAGCAGGTAAAGGCAGAACATCAGAGACCAGTAAGTTTATTGCAGCCATTAAATGTAGCACAGTGGAAATAGGAGTGTATTGCTATGGATTTTGTGACAGGCTTCTAAGGTCACAGAGGGGTAATGAGTCTGTTTGGTTCATTATTGATAGATTGACTAAGACAGCTCACTTTTTGCTTGTTAAGGTGACATATTCTGCTGAGGTACTTGGCAGATTGTATGTTAGAGAGATAGTGAGGTTGCATGGCGTTTCGGTGGCCATTGTTTTGGACAGGGATGCCAAGTTCACATCGAAGTTATGGCAAGGGCTTCATACAACGTTTGGTTCACCGTTGCATTTTAGTTTAGCATTCCATCCGCAGATGAACGGCTAATCGGAGCGTACTATCCAGATCTTGGAAGATATGTTTCGGGCCTATGTACTTGATTTTGGTGGTAGTTGCGAAGACCATTTACCTCTTGTTGAGTTTGCCTACAATAATAGCTATCAGTCGAGCATTAAGATGGCTTCTTTTAAGGTATTGTATGGTAAGCCTTGTCGTTTTCCTGTTTATTGGACTGAGGTGGGTGAGACAGCCGTTTTAGGGCCAGACATTGTTTTGAAAACTACAGAAAATGTTAAGTTGATTCAGCAATGGTTGTTGACTACTCAGAACTGACAGAAAAGTTACGCAGATAGACGGATACGGCCGTTATCCTTTGAGGTGGGAAACCACGTGTTTGTCAAGGTTTCTCCACGTTACTACGGTTTGGAAAAAGTGGCAAGTTGTCACCTCATTTCATTGGGCTGTTTGAGATTTTGGATCGAGTAGGTAAGGTTGTTTACAGATTGGCATTGCCACCACAGATGAACAGGGTCCATAATGTCTTTCATGTTTTGATACTACGGAAGTATGAGCTGGATCTATCACACGTGTTGAGTTGTGTCAATGTTGACATTGATGAGGATGTTTCTTATGAGGAGGGACCCATTCAGATTCTTGACACTCGAGACAAAGTGTTAAGGGGTAAAATGGTGACTCTCATGAAGGTTTTATGGCGACATCATGGTGTTGAGGAGACTATGTGGGAACGAGAACATGATGTTCGTTCTACGTATCAGGGTTTGTTTTCTTTCCCAGGTATGACTTGATTTCGGGGATGAAATCCTTGTATGTTGGAAAGACTATGAGAACTTGCATTTTTATCATTTTCCAGACATGTTGGTATGTATGCATTATTTATTTTATTGTTAGGATTATGATTAATTGCAAATGTGGTTATTTTATTTTATTGTCATTTAATTATTTTATAAGGGCCATTATTGATTTTTATTGTGTAAATGACATTTATTTATTTTGTGAAGGGTATTGTGGACTTTTTGCTATGCAAAGGACATAGTTGGTATTTAGAAATTGTTGGAGGGTATTATAGACTTTTATTATGCAAAATAGCATAATTGGCATTTGATTAGTTGTGAAAGGGTATTGTGGACATTTTCATGATAATAGCATGAATGGGATTTTGTGTTTGTGGAGGGGTGTTTTAGTCTTTGTGCAAAATCTTACTTTTAACCTTTACGTGCACTTGACACCTAGGTAGGTTGATGAGTGCTCAGATATGATGCATTTTAGCACCTAAGCGAGGGTATTTTAGTCCATTCATCTATCTTTATTTCACTATTTTAGTACTTATTTGTGTTTTTATCTATTTCAGGTCAATAAGGTTCAAATGGGCTAAAAATGGTCTATTACAGCCTTTATAGAGTCAAACAAAAGTTCCTAGAAGATTTCAGAAAAATTCAGAAAAAGGTCAAAAATGCTGAAAATTTGGATGGATCGAAGATTTCTTCGATCGATCGAAGAGACTGAAAATGTGCTGGCAGTGAGCTGTATTATTCCCACGCGCCCGAACTATACCTACCATATAGTTGCGGGATTAGATATTTTGAGGGCTTATTTTTTGACTTGTTCACTACTCTAAGGACCTTTTATAAAGGGGGAATTGAACCATTTTGTAATATATCTTTAGTCTTCAATTTTATTTCATTGTAATTTTATTTTTTTCTCTCTAGAAAAGTTAGAGATTAGGGTTAGAAGAAAAGAGAAGAGTAGAGGCACCAAAAACACATCTTAAGATCTACAGTACACTCTCTTTTTATAGAATTCAATAAAGAAGAAGAGGAAGAAGATGGAGCCATGTTTGGGGATTGCCCTTGAGGGTTCCAAGATCACACCCACCTTCTCCATGATTGGCTAGACTTCTCCTTGGGGCTTAGACGAGCCCCAAGTTTGTAATCTAAACCTCTATCTCTTTCATACTTTTTGGGAAATAATTTCTTGTGATTAGTTTTATAGTCTTGTGAATTTAATGAATCTTGGTTTATTTCTATGATTTAATTCTTCTTTTTAATTCTATAGTTTATTTACATGTCTATGTGTGATTAAATTGGGAATTATGTCTCACATGATTCATATGGTTTAATTCTTCCTATTGATTCTCTTAGTGATTACATATTGTCTTATGTGTGATTATTTGGGAATTGATCTCTACACTAGTTTCTCTATATTAATTGCATGTCTATGTGTGGTTAATTAAGAATCTAGTAATGGCTAGACATGGTTTTTATTAGATGGGTTTGTCAATTAATTTGATAGATTATACTTATGTTTGATGGGTTGTTCTACAATTTAATTCATGTTTATAGGTAGGTAGACAATCTTTATTTGATTTGATATTCCATGGCTTATTATTACAAATTCCATGATTCTCTAGATTGATGTGTGCTACAATTGTGACTAGTTTGATGAGTCATGCTTAGAATTGATGGGTTGTTCTACATTTAGTTTAATTGTTGGTTAGGTAGACAAATCATTATTGAATTTGATGGTCGATGCTTAATATTGCAATTGTAGTCGCATTTTATTCACAAGAAGGTTTTCCCCAAATTAGTTGAAAGTGTGTGGTTTGGTGAATAAGTTTGGTGGCAATTCCAATACACCCCAAGACCTCACTCTCATCTCTTAAATCCCTAACCAACTTAGTTTATTTTAATTGCATTTTAATTTCCTTGCATCTTAGTTTAATCAACATATCTCTCTCTTTGCAATCATTTGGTACATTAGAGTCGAAATTAAATTCCAACACGTATAATCTCTGTGGACGATCCCTACTCGCTATACTTCATTAGTCGCTATAGTGGTTTTATAAATGTAAATTTGAATTTTAAAGGCTTCCTAAACCACAATCATATTTTGACCTTGCGAAGCGACCTCTCGCATTACAAAGTTCGTTTTCTAAACACATAGAAAGGGGCTCGTCAAATTTTGGCACCGTTGTCAGGGATTAACGGTTTTGTTGGAATTAAACTAGACAATAGTGTTCATTGGATTGTTTCTATTTTTATTTTATTTTCCATTGTATATTCATTTCTCACTTTTGATATTATATGTTCAATTAGGGACTTGACTACAAGAAAGACAAACTTTGGAACTTGAAGCAATCATTAGAGTTTAAAGCTAACATTAAAATTTGAAGTTGCTTAAGGACCTTTGTGAGCAATTGTTGGAACTCTTGTATTTTAATTGTGCATTTCTTGGCATGCTTGTGATAGCCCTTATTGAGGCTCATTATATTGCTTAAATTTTTGTCCAAGCATTGGCCCGTGTGGAGGCCAAAAAGTTTTCTTGCATTTAGATTTTTAATGTGAATGGAGCCATTATTTGATCCAAGTTTGGGGGGGAATTTCTTTCCTTCACCTTATGCTCCATCATATTTTAATCCTTATGAGATTGTGTCCAATTCATTTCATGCATCATCTTATTATGGGCTTGATCACCCTTTTAACCCTCCTTATGACTATTACCCTCCCCCACCATGTTATGAAGAACCACCTCCATCACCTTATTCACCCGAGTTTCAAGAAAAAGTGTTAGCTCTACTTGATAGGCTTAATTCACAAACTCAACTTATCCTTTCACATTCTCAAATTTTAGCCAAGCTTGAAGCTCAAGTTGAGCAAATTGCAAGTACTCTTTCTCATCAATAGAAGGAGGAAGAGGCAAATGAAAAAATGGCAAGAACTTTAATTTATATAGATGAGGATGATGAGAGTGAAGAGGAAGAAGTAGTAAGTGAGCTAATGCCTAGCACTCTATCTTGTGTAGAGGAGGAAGCTGGCAAATGAGTTAGTGGCTTGCCCAATAGAGCACAACATGACTTATAAGGATTTTCCTTGGTTTGATCATGATTTTATCTCGGCTTTTGATACTTTAGAAAGTGAGGAGATGTTAACCACTATAGAGGTAGGAAAGAAGGAGGAGGAACTTGTTGAAAAGAACCTTCCTTCTATTATCTCCAAAGACCCTCTTGAGACATGTTTTTTAAAATCAATAAAAATTGTGGTTTTGACATTGATAGCTCTAAAAATGAAATAAACTCTTTAATAGACTCCTTAGCTAACTTGGAAGGTGAGGAGATGGTGATTTTTAAGGAAGAGAAGAGGGATGAAGAGAGGGTGTTTCCTATTAACCCAATTGAGTCTTTGAAAGACTTTGCCTTGCCAAGTGCAAGGCCGCCCATCATTGATTTTATTTTTAAGACCATGGATGAAAAGAAACAAATTGCATCTTTCATAATTTCTTTTCAAGTCATTCTTTAAGAGGATGTTTACATTGTTGTGAAAGATGATCCACGAGGGAAAATTGACAAGAGGGTTAATGAAGATGGTTCATATCCATTTTTTGATTCGTTCGACTAGTGAGTGATCCAACGTTTTGCTAGAGACGTTAAACACTAGCATTCATAGAGTTTCACAACTCTATTCCTCTTCCATTTCTTTTTATTTTTTGCTTCTTGCAGCGTCTAGATATGTTCCATTGCATTTCATTGTCAAAAATCAAGTTTTCAGACCATATTCAAGCATTTTGGGGTCTTAGAAAATTTTTGCCTTTGAAAATTTTTCGAAATTCAACAATTTGTGCCCAGGCAGTTCAACCGATTGAAGACTTTTTCGATCGATCAATGCTTATTCCGATCGATCAAAAATGGTCTCAATCGATCGAAAATAATTTCGATCGATCAGAATTGCGTCAAATTTTTGTTCCCAGGGCATCATTCTACAAGCTTTTCGATCGATCGAGCCCACTTTCGATTGATCGAGCACTGTTCAAAAAAAAAAAAAAAAAAAATCTTTTTGCATCTCTTATTTCCTAGCATTTTTATTCATTGCATGTTTATTTGTTTTATTTTTATATGTGTGTACATACTTGTTATGTCTTAAAAAAAAAAAAAAAAAAAAAAAAAAAAAGAAAAAGAAAAAGAAAGTTTTATTTTTCATTATTTTGTTCTTGCATCCTTTCTTACTTTTTATTTTTTATTTCTTGCGTTGTACATA